AAGCCGGATCTTCTTTCAGCCTGTCTTAAAGTTCTCAATCATGGAGGTTCGTTTGAAGGTTTTAATGACACAATTATCGTTTTGATCCCGAAGAAGAAAAATCCAGATATGATTACAGATTTTCGGCCCATAAGCTTATGCACGGTTCTTTATAAAATTATTTCGAAAGCAGTGGGGGCTAGGTTGAAAAAAGTCATCGGCCCTCTGATCTCAGTGAATCAAAGCGCTTTTGTTCCTAATAGGCTCATAACAGACAATGCAATCCTTGCTTTCGAAACTTTTCACTCCATGTCGAAAAAACGCAAAGGAAACTCTCACTGGCTGGCCCTTAAATTAGATATGAGTAAAGCGTATGATCGAGTTGAATGGGATTTTGTTGCTTCAATGTTGTTGAAAAGGGGGTTTCCTCCCCGATTCCGTCGACTGATTTGGCAATGCATTTCGACTGCGAACTTGACGTTTCGAATAAATGGGCGACTTGTGGGAAATGTCAGGCCATCTCGCGGCCTTCGACAAGGATGTTCATTATCTCCATATCTTTTCATCCTTTGCGCAGAAGGGTTATCGGCGGCACTTAACAAAGCTGAAATGGGAAAATCTCTCACGGGTTTCAAGTGTAGCAGATTCGGACCATCAATATCTCATCTCTTATTCGCGGACGATTCAATCATTTTTTCAAAAGCTAATTCAGGTGAGTTATCAACCATTGTCCACATATTGAGACTCTATGAAGCGGCTTCGGGTCAAAAGGTCAACTTAGAGAAAACGGCAATTTCCTTTACCCCCAATACACCGTCGGATGTGCGTCGAGCCTTATGTTTGACTTTGGGAATCCATTCTCCTTCTTCTCACAATACTTATTTGGGTCTCCCATCCCTGATTGGCAGAAACAAAAGTCGAACTTTTGCGACTATTCGGGAAAAAATTTGGAAGCGACTCCACTCTTGGCGGCGTAATTTTTTTTCGTCGACGGGGCGTGAAATCTTAATCAAAGCAGTGGTGCAATCTATCCCTACTTATATCATGAGCCTATTTCGGATCCCAAAGCTGATGTGCGACCAAGTGAAGAAAATAGTCGCCCAATTTTGGTGGGGGTCCCGTGAAGGTGAACAAAAACTTACGTGGGTGAAATGGAGCAGGCTTACTTTATCAAAGCCACAAGGTGGATTGGGCTTCCGAATTTCAGTATGTTCAATAAAGCTTTACTGGGGAAACAAGCCTGTAGAGTGTTATCATTTCCAGATTCTCTTGTGTCGAGAGTTCTCAAAGCTAAGTATTTTTCTTCGTGTCAGTTCCTAGAAGCAACAGTCCGGCCGGGTTCATCTTTCATCTGGAGAAGTCTATTGTGGGGTCGTGAAGTCATTCATGCTGGAATGCGGTGGAGAGTAGGTGACGGCAAGTCAATCAAGGTGTTCTCAGACCCTTGGATACCCCATTTCTGGGGATTTAAGCCTATTTCTCACTCTTCACCGGGTATCGATAGAGTCAACGATCTTATTGGAAGAAATGGAGATTGGAATCACGATTTGATAAATCGAGTCTTCCTTCCGATAGATTCGCTCAAAATTCTCTCTATTCCTATTAGCCCGTCCGTTCATTCTGATCGAATCATTTGGCATCATACAAAAAATGGGAATTACACAGTGAAGAGTGGCTATCATTTGCTCAAGGAACAATCATCAGGTCCCCTGGAATCCTCCTCATCTTCGAAAAATAGGTGGTGGAATGCTTTGTGGAAATTGAATATTCTACCAAAGATCAAAATGTTTCTCTGGAGAGTGTGTAATTTAGCAATTCCTTCATCGAAAAATCTTGCTAGGAGGCATATCGGGGTGGATGCAAAGTGCCCAAGATGTTCGGGTTGGGAATCTAATGCTCATATATTTTTTGAATGCTTCTGGTCAAAAAAGTTGTGGAAAACTTCAGGGTGGTGGGCCACTCTCACACCTATACGAGGATTGAATTTCCCTGACATTTTTTGTGACATCCTGGACAATGTTCGTGGAGATGAATTTCCAAGGTTTTCTTACTTGCTATGTATTATTTGGAATGAACGAAATCGTATCAAACACGGTTTTAAAGCCAGAACAGTGGATCAAGCTTGTTCAATCGGGCTTACGTGGCAAGAGGAGGCCTATAAAG